TCAGTTTAAATTTTAACGGTTTTCAAAAATTAAGTTTTTCACGGTAGCATCCCGAATCAGCTTTCGCAAAAATTAAAGTTTTATGTATATTCAGAAAATTGCGAAAATGGCATACTCTGATATAGTAGTAAGTCGGGGTGTTACAAATTGGTATCAGAGCGCACGTTTCTGCGTCTCTGAAAAGTTTTTCAGTCAAAAATTTTCATAAAAACCTGAACCGTCACGCTCACGCCTCGCCGACTCCAGGTAAGTGCTGATTCAGTTTTTTCAGTTATGAACATATTACTTTGTCTATGCTCAGAAATCAGTAATCAGACTTAATTAAGATGCTCGATTCAGATTCAGATTTTAGGGTTCGGATATAACTCTAGAATTCAGCACATTCAGACTTGACTTTAGAGATCAGTATATTCAGGCATGACTCTAGACTTTAGAATCTTCCGTTATGACTCTAGAGTTTCTTCAGGATTCATGTCAGTAATTATCGGCCATTTTTGGCAACTCGTCAAGAGATCTGTGTGCCTTAGTAATCAGTCAGAATATATTTTCATGCGTTCAATAATTTTGAACTTTTTCAATATTCAGATGCCGCCACGTAGGGAACCCGATCATCCAGTTCCTACTCAGGCTACAGTGGTCGCCCAGTTCCGCGACTACCATGCCGAAAAGTTCTCAGGGCAGGGAGATCCACGCGTAGTGGACGAGTGGATTCAGGGTATGGAGTTTATCTTCGAGGTCATGGAGTGCCCCGAGAGATATCGCGTGGTTTGCGCACAGCTTCAGTTCACCGGTGATGCCAGGCTCTGGTGGAACGCTTACTGGAGCATGCGTCCCGGTGAGAAAGCGGGATGTACGTGGGAGATGCTCAAGGAGTTAATCCGTGAGAAGTACTATCCCACATACTATCGAGCAGAGATGGAGCGTCAGTTTCTATCGCTCCAGCAGGGTACTCGTACTGTCGACGAGTATGAGAGAGAGTTCACGAGACTTGCAGCTTTTGTTCCTGATTTGGTCTGCGCGGAGGCCCAGCGAGCGCAGCGTTTCATTGACGGGCTTTACCCAGCAGTCCGTCATAACATCGTAGGCCACGAGACACAGACATATGCACGTGCAGTCTCCATTGCTCAGGAGGTGGATGCTAGCCTTGGGAGGGAGGCAGTTCGCAGTCAGATTCATCCATTCGTCCCTGCTCAGTCGTCTTCAGTTCCACCGATGTCAGCTTTACCATCTACCCAGCCGCCCAAGAACAACAAGAGGAAAGATAAAGGTGCCCAGGCAGATAAGAGGGCCCGACGGAGGCTACAGCAGATTCCACAGTGCCCGACATGTGGACGGCTTCACCGAGGCGAGTGTCGCTTTGGTCAGGATGTGTGCTACTATTGTCACGAGGCCGGACACTTTGCGAATCGTTGTACGAAGAAGGCGCAGCAGCCTCAGCAGCCTCAGCAGCCACCGCAGCAGCAGCAGCCCCGTCAGCAGGCACAGAGGCAGCCCCAGCATCAGCAGCAGCAGAGGGGCAGACAGTAGGCCAGAGTTTACGCCATCGATCAGGCAGAGGCCGAGAAGCAGCCAGGTACCATGTCCGGAATGGTTATTCTTAATAATGTTCCTGTATTTGCTTTATTTGATACCGGAGCGACGCATACTTTCATTTCGTGACGATGTCTTGATGCCATCGGAGTTCGCGCTACTACCGCTATCGATCCTCTCGAGGTGAGTTTGGCCTCGGGAAGAAAGATAGTGACTTCAGCTAAAGCTTCAGATCTTAGCCTTTCCATCGGTGGCCGAGTTTTGCCTACCGACGCATTTGTTCTCGAGATGAAGGACTTCGACCTTATTCTCGGAATGGATTGGCTATCCTTTTATCATGCGGATATCAAATGTCACGACCGGGAGATTACTCTTTATCTTCCGAGAGACGAGCCGATTACTTTCTTCAGCTCCAGAAACCGTTCTTTGCCTCATGTTGTTTCAATGGCGAAAGCCACTAAGTTGCTGCGACGAGGCAACCACCAGGGTTATCTGGTGAGCCTTGTTGACGATTCTCAGAAAACGAGTTCACCTCACGATGTTCCAGTCGTTCGAGAATTTGTGGACGTATTCCCAGACGAGCTTCCAGGAGGACCGCCTAATCGGCAGGTGGAGTTCTCTATAGACCTTATTCCAGGGGCCAGTCCGATATCCAAAGCCCCGTACCGTATGGCACCTAAGGAGTTGCAGGAGCTTAAGGCGCAGATTCAGGAGCTATTACGACTGGGTTTCATCCGACCGAGTGTGTCACCTTGGGGAGCACCCGTTCTCTTTGTTAAGAAGAAGGACGGATCCATGCGCATGTGTATCGACTACCGCGATCTTAACTGGTTGACGATCAAGAACAAGTACTCGCTTCCCAGGATCGACGACTTATTTGATCAGCTGAGGGGAGCCTGTGTGTTCTCAAAGATTGATTTGCGATCAGGCTACCACCAGCTGAAGATTAAAGAGTCAGATATCGCTAAGACCGCTTTCAGGACTCGTTACGGCCACTACGAGTTCGTCGTCATGCCATTCGGTCTCAGCAATGCGCCAGCAGTTTTCATGGACCTCATGAACCGTATCTTCCATTCCTACCTCGATCAGTTTGTTATTGTCTTTATTGATGATATTCTTGTCTACTCGAAGAGCCAGAAGGAGCACGAGGAGCATGTGAGGGTGGTTCTTGAAACCCTCATACGAGAAAAGTTGTTTGCAAAATTCTCCAAATGCGAGTTCTGGCTCCAGCGAGTATCCTTTCTGGGTCATATGATTACTCAGGCAGGTATCGAGGTAGATCCTTCCAAGGTTTCAGCTGTTCAGAATTGGTCAGCACCGAGGAATCCGTCCGAGGTTCGCAGTTTTCTCGGTCTAGCTGGATACTATCGCAGGTTCATCGAGGGCTTTTCCAAGATCGCCCTCCCTCTATCCCAGCTGACTAGGAAGTCTGTGAAGTTCGAGTGGACTGACCGATGTGAGTCGAGCTTTCAGGAGCTCAAGAGAAGATTAACTTCAGCATCGGTGTTGACTATTCCCGATCCTTCTCGGAGTTTCACTATCTTCAGCGATGCTTCGAGACAGGGCTTGGGATGTGTCCTTAAGCAGGACGGCCAGTGTTGGTGTTATATACTTAAGCTTTGCTTTAGTGGATATTACACTTGTTATT